AGTGATTACTTCAGTAATCATCCTATTTCTCATAGCTTCAGGTTAGTCCGTCTACGAGTAACAAACTATATAAGAAATTTATTAGTAATGTGTTATTATATTTCAGTCGATTTTTATTATGTAGTTGATATATTTTTATGGTACTTTTGGTTTTGAATGAAATGTAGTAAAAGTTGAAGCCATACCACAATGCATTGGATTATGTGAAATGCTTTTTGATTGTACCACCGCTTGCGTAAAGATGGGTTACCATTTTGGCCAATGCGTTGCATGGGCGGGTCCTTATAATTGTTGTTGTGACTATTAATTTTTTTATATCTAAAATGCAGTGTATCGAAAATCATCAATAACCTTCAACAAAAAAAAAAGAAAATCATTAATAACAAATACTAATAAATATTCTCAACATAGTCACGAAGTTGGTTACCTACAATTTTTCAGCTAAAGTATACAAAAAAAAAAAACATTTTCATTTCATTAACGGTAATGATGTATAACAGACTTAATAGTGTATACAATAATCAGTCCACAATCCAAAGATGATGGTAGAGTATGAATCCTTAATTTTTTTCACCCACTGAAATCGAACCATGGTTCTGTTGACCATTGATTTATGTTGTTTAGTTGATGTATTTTTTATACAGTTTTTGGTTTTGTATGAGATGTAGGAAAAGTTGAAGCAGAACCACACTGCATTGGAATCTGTGGAACGATCTACGACAGTGCAACCGCTTGCATAAAGAAAGGTTACCATTTTGGCCAATGCGTTGGATGGGATAATCCCGATAATGTTGCTGTGACCATTAAACTTTTTCGTATCTAAATGTATTGAAAATTATTATTAACAATATATATAGTTTTTTAACCAAATTCATGTTGTACAAACAATTATATATTGAAGGAAAATGCATTGGACCATGTAAAGTGATTGCGTTAAGGAAGGATATGATCTAACATAAACATACATGGTTTCACTAACAATTGCTAAAATATTTATCTGATTATAAAATATTTGGGCTGTTATTATCATGGTTTCATTAACAAACGTCTGTGAGTTGTTAAAGTGTAACAAAAGGTCTGCGTAAGGAGCATTTCATAAAATTCTCTCATTTCGTACGTCTTGCATGTAAACGGAGTAAGTGGTGTTATGTCTCCTAAGAGCATGTCCATGAGTGGCTCTAGACGAGTTTCTCAATATTAAAAAAAAAATGAAAATAAGTAATTAAAGAAGGGAGAGAACAAGAAAAAATTCTTGTTTGAGAGATTTGAGGAACGCTATTTAAACCCTCTTGCCCCATATCCTTTCTGATTGGTTTAATTTATTGCATTTAATTATCTGATTTATTAGTATTACAAAAATGTTTTGCGCACATTTAAATTAAAAAAACGTTTTGCTTAAATTTATGATTGCTTAACCTCACATATTAATGTTTAAACCTTTTTTATTTGCTAAAACTAAAAATGGTATATCTATACATTCCAAACAAAAAATATCGTTAATATAAAACGAGTATTCGATAATAACATTTTATTTTATTATTTTAGGAACCAAACCAGGATTGTTGTAGTAATTTTCAATAAAAGCCAAGTCAAAACTAAATTTTTGTTTTGTTTGCAAAAAGTTTTTATAGCCGAACTGAATCGAATCGTCATTTATTCATTGTGTTTGGGTTAAGACTCCAATCTTAGGGTCTAGCTTCTCTAAAAAATCGATTCGTAGTTTTATTCAGTCTGTGAGAGTTAAGACTCCCTTCTTAGGGTCTAGCTCCTTTTAAAAATCGAATCATAGTTTTATTTAGTCTGTGAAGGTTAAGGCTCTTCACATAGGGTTTAGCTCCTTTTAATTTACAATAAAAAGTAATTGTAATTGGTTTTACAACAATATATTCTTAAATCGTTTATTATAATTTGTAATTCTTGCGTTGGGAGATATGCAATGGGTGCATTTAAAAATAAAATAGAAAATTCAATAATATGTAAATTATACTTCATACTTTTAAAATTAGTTATTCACTTTTTAAAGGTTTCAAAACAATGAATTGAGTTTTGATGAAAAAATTATGGGTCTCCTCTAGAATACTAGAATCAACCTTACTAATAAAGATACATGGCATGAAAGTTGTTTGTGTATAATACTTTTTGTTAAAATATACACTAATCACGTAACTTCACTTCAATTTGTTACAAACCAAATAGAACGTTTCAAGAATATTAGAAAATTGCGTATGTGATTAAAATGATGGAACGATCAACATAAAATTATTAGAACGATCTCAAAATAGTTTGTCAAAAGATGTTAATTGAGGAAGAAAGCTCTTTCTTGTTCTTCGTTAATTTTTGAGTTTTTTTCCACTCACAAATTGTCAAGATCGGTATAATTTGAATACTGTAACAATACTGTAAATTGGTATAATTTGAATTGCAAGATCTACTAAATATATTTGTAATATATATATTGAT